AACTATATCGACCCTCATGACCAGCTAAAGTGCCGGCATCTTGAAATCCTAGTAGAACGCCGGCGTTGCTTCGCCACTGACTGTACCTAAGAATCCACATGCTGTAGCCTTTTTTCCAAAGAAAGAGATGGACTCCTTCTAACATTGTTCCAATGGTTAAAAAAGGGTTTTTTTTTCATCGGCTCCTCTGCCCGAGTTGAAAAACGGGGTCTCAGGGAACTGTCTGATGATCGACCTTTTTTTGATTGAGGGAAAACATGCCATCATTTTTCTACTTTTACGAGCAGTTGGCTCAAATAAAACATTTAAAAAAACCAACATTACAATGAATCGGAAGTGTAGTTGTAAATACTCACAACTCTGAACTCGTAGGCGATTTCTCAGCCGTACATCTAAATATAACATCCTGTCCAAGTAGTATAGATTGATTAGCGGGTACTTCCCGAAAACCTGCTTCTGATTCTATTATCAATAAAAAAAGCAACGGTAGCACCAAAATCATTGCATAGTAGGCTGAACTAATAGCAGCTAATCTGAAAGTAATTACTATAGTGATAAAAGTAGCACAAAAGTAGTCACTAAACGATGATCATCTGCAGAATTGAGTCACAAAAACGAGACCCATCCGCAGGATTAAGCCAATCAATCGATACGTATGCAGGCTATTGCAATATGGAAGAATGCAATGAATATGTCAGCAGAACATCTGTTAGAAGTGACAGCACCGCTTAGTAGACAATAAGAAATCCAATAGGGGCCCATCATCGATAGATGATGATAGATGACGATAGATAGCATATTCGGACCTCTACAGCACATCCATCTGATCACTGGTATACTTAATTAGCAAGCAGTAAAGATGAGTTTACAGAAAAAGTGAAATGTGAGCTTAATGAATTAAATATTGTATAGCTTCTGTTTCATATAACAATAACCTGCCGGAGGGCATCTGAACCTTCTGGCGCAGTTCGGCGACAGGAGGGGGGGGGGGGAGGAGGCATTTTGCTTTTCCATCGATGTGTCGACCCATCTAGATAGCCTTTTCTTGAGTTCACGTTTTACCATGGTGGCTAGACGAGCTTGCTCCAGCTTCACAAGAGTTCACAAGTTTCACCAGAGTGAGACTTGTAAACCGGAAGTAGTGAAAGTGCAAAATGCTCCCCCGTCGCTGAACTGAGCCTTTCCACCCTACCGGGACTCTTCTGGGAAGACAAAACGCTAATCTGCACTCCGGGTAGCCCTAAAGCCATTTTATGTACCGAATGGGCACTACGATTCTGAATTCAAGTGGAATTCGTGGCGTACGCCAAAAAGGGATGGATCGAGCTTTTTCTTACTGAAAGTCGATCTTAACGCGGAATATTTCGATGTTTTATATTAAACTGAAGTTTACAGTATGGAGGGGAAATCCCCCGAAAGATACTGTAGACCTGTTGTTGATGTGGTCTGTTCTGAAAGGGTTACCCTTAATCAAAGGCCGCCGGGTTCTCCTTTTTCGTAATGGGCGAATGCAATCAAGCGCACTCTACGTAGTATGAAAGTGAACGACGCTATCTCTGAGAGGTAAATATAAACAAATAATAAAACAAACAAACATTAGTGAGCTCCCATTCGAGTAGAAAAAAAAGGAAAACATCATCCATCACATTAAGGCTTACAAAAAATAGAAATGATGGGACAATAGAACTTTCTCTAGGACCATAAGTCGTTAAGTCGGAGTAATGACTCATGAAAACATCGCTTGTAATTGAGAAAAGGAAACCGGACTCTTCAAACCCCTTCCCCTCTGGAAATTTTCACAGAATATCCAATTTAATTTAATCGTTCTCGAAAAATCATTCCAACTGTGATCATGATAACCTGCTTTGCAGGGAATCAGTACTTGTAGACAAGGAAAATGAGGAGCATGAGGATCTTTAGGCAACCAAAGAAGTGTACGAAAATGTAACAGGGAACCGCAAGTGGTAAACAAGTTTAATAAGAAAATACAGCTTCGGAGGATACGGTAATTTACAAATTTGGCTCAATATTTGAGAGCCCGTGAAATATAGGAATAAACTAGCGATCGCAGTGGTCAGAGCAAACAAAAGACAATTGAATAAATTGCTGTTTAATAGCGCACGGCAACATTATTGAATCCCCGGAACAGTTGTGGAGTTCGTTCGGGGTTGAAGAGGGCGAACACACATCGGGGTTGATCATCAGCTGCCGATCAGAGAGTGAAGAATGCTGGCTGACAATCGAAGTGGCTCGCTTCTAGGCGGTCACAAACCCCGCTTCTCTACTGATCTGTCCATCGCTTTCGTCCCTGCTCCTCCTCCTGCTTAGACCTCTCAAAGTACCAGCGTTTCTGGGATGATGAGGACAGCCGCGTTTGAGCGTCCCGAAGGCAACTGTTCGTTTTGCTCGACCTCGAGAACCTAACAATCGCTTGGCCACGAACCCTCGTGCCTCGTCACACAGGCCATAATCCGGGATAATGAACATACCAAGCGTATATTAACGTCACCCGCACTTACAATAACACGACAAGCTTGGCAACGGCTCCCAGAGCCCAGTAGCTTCACAGCAGTTCCGAGGAAGCAGGTCCCAAAACTCACAAACAGTCTTTAAAGTATGGTTAAGCTCAAACAGAATTTATTTTCGTTCTCAATTTCAAACACTCCATCCTGTAAAAATAAAAATTATGGGGCATGGTGAAAATCCTGCGAAGACAAAGGAAGAACAATGGATCTTCAGTCCAAATGACCCTAATTATCATGGTAATTTATATCACGCGTCTCATGCTGTGGGTATGGAAATCAGCTGTCTATGCCAACCTATCGATTGCTGAAAATAGATTAGTTTTCCGTATTAGAAAACGATTTTTTCAAAGGATGCTGGAGAAAACGACAAATATCAAATAACTACATAATATTTTACGTGGAGCTCATATTTTTTATCCTATTATACAAGTAGAAATGGAATCGCAAGGAAATCAGACTTCATATCATTCTGAAAAGTGACTGCACATGGTGCCGCACATGATCACAGAAAAGAGATAGTCCCTCTTTCATATCAGAACAGAATCATTAGTTAGGGATTTTGATCGAGGCCCTGCCCTGAAGGGTGCCTTGGTTAACCCCCCCCCCTTCGTTTCCTACTCTGATACGATCGAGCTGTCGAGTGGGGGGGGGGAAGAAGGGATTTATTATAGCACAAAAGGATCGGGGAAAACCGCGAGGATAAAAGAAGCTCGCCCCCTTCCCAATTCTACCTACCACCTTCCCGAATTTCCCAAATTCCAACCAGATTTTCCGGAATTTGCCAAGAATTTCCCTACTCTCCCAAAATTATTTGCTGGTCCGCCGGCGGGGGTATGATAGCACCCTGAAAACCCAGGAAGAAACCGCTAAGAAAGTCAACAACCAGGACAAAATTCTCCCAACGCGGCAAATTTCCCTAGCAGACCTCCTCCCCTCCCCAACAACGAGCAATTAAAACCGTGAAACAAGAAAAAGCAACGCCATCAAAAAAAATTTAGATCAATACGACACCCTCCCGAGCGAACCAAAAAATATCGATTTTACCCGACCGTGTTGGGGCAAAAAATCCCGCAACGATGTGGCCCTCTGGTTCAAAAGGCATCCTCCCCAGCCGGTTAAAAAATATGCAAAATCCGTTTTTTATGCCAATAAAAAATTTGTAGGCAAACTAAGGTCGCGTTTGAATATATCCACACCCTGTCTGCTGCTGACAGAGTTACAGTAAGGGGCCGTGGAAACTGGCTGCTATATCGACTGACACGGTTGGAGACGTATGCGCGGTAGACACGAGAGCGGCGCCCTGCATAGGGACTACGAGCGGACCTGCTGACCCGCCCAACGTGGGAGTTGTGCAAGCACTCCAGAGGTTTCAGGTGGACCACCAACTTGGCAAGCGAAAAACTTAAGTGCTTCTTCTGGCGACAGGCCAAAAATGCGCAAAAATAGACGGCAAAAGCGAACTAATTATTGTTACTGCTGGTTCCGGCTCAGTTCGTTCCCCACTAACAGATCATAAGTAAGCTGATTTCAGCGAAAGCGTGTTGGGGCCAAAGCGAAAAATCTTAATAGGTGACTATTTAGAGCACCCTCCCGTGTTAAATCTTCACCAAAATAAACATTTAAAAAACCTAATGCAGTCCTTTTTTTGTTTGCGGAGAGAAAAAAAGGAACAATACGTTGAAGCTGCGCCAAACCCACTATTCGGCAATGGCTCCACGCGACCAAGGACACACTACTATCAAAACTATAGAGAACGATAACTTGCTCTAGAAACACGGAAAAGATCGACCTGAAATGAGTGGTGAAGATCGTCTAAACAGATAATCGCGCACGAAAGAAACCAGGCTTCTTATAGGTTGATTGGTAATAATTCATATTTATAATACTACTTATCCCTGATAATAGCGTGGTATTCGAACATGGCACAAAATGGTTACTCAGGCGATATTTCAGTTTGAGACAACTGTCATCCTGTGAGTGCTGGACAGAAACAGGACCA